GGACTGGGGCAGTTTCCACTTGCGAGATTGCTACTTCTGAACCGAAGAGGCACGCAGTCCTTTTAAGACATAAGGACGGTGGACGGGGTCGTTCACGAAACATTCATGGAGGCTGCTGTTGCACTTGGACTATTGGAAGACAACCTAGCGTGGCGGAATAGTTTGACGGAATCGGCGACGTTGGACACACACTGGAACTGTGGTATCTGTTCATCACTATACTGGTGTTCTGTCTGTCCTCAAACCTGCTGGCGTTGTACCAGGGCGAATGAAACAACCTGATAGAGGACTTCAACCGGCGTCTTCAAGACGTCGACCTCGCGAGGGCCGCGTGTCTGGCAGCCATTGAGGATCTACTTCATGAGCACAGAAAGTCGCCGGTCGACTACAGTTTGCCCCTCGCCAACCCCCTTCTACTGGAACCGCTGCAGGACGAAAATTGAGCCTGTTAGGTGACGCGGAGTTTTGACAACCTACAAGTGGTCTCTCTGGATGCGAATACTCAAAGGTTACTCTAATGTCAAACGGTTTGTTAGGATTTGAAAAATAATATTTATAATATTGTAACTTTTCCTTACGCTATATCAATAATATGTTTATTTATACCTACTTCAAAAACAAGTCAATGTAATTTAATGTAAAAAAGCGTTTAAATAATATTATATCACTTTGTAACATTAGTTTAAATTATTTAACCTTTTTATATGTTTTGTTAGTATTTAACTGCTAATTATATAAAATGGATTTGTTATTGATGTCTGTATGAGTAACTTTGAAAATATCTATATTAATTCTAATTGTATTAATTTGTTTTAATATATTCATTATAATATGTTAGACTATGATATTATTTTCCTTTTTTAAATTTGTTTTTACTTTTAATTATATAATATTAACTTTTAAACACAATTTGCTATTTACATCTGAACGGACAAATTTGTATAATAATCTCAATATCGTTAAGTAGAATTATTATAGTTGAGATTGTATTTACAATTGTATGCTATGATTGTATCGATTAAAAATACATATATTATGTAACTTTTTACATTTTCTTTTGTATTTAGTAACCACCAATTGTTATTATAATTTATAATTAATTAAAAGTTTAATATAATATAACATGCTTTTACTTTTATGTCTATGGCAATAACTTTTAAACATTTTGCAATTTATGTCTGAACGAATAACTTTTTATAATGATCTAAATATTTGTTAATATAATATATATTATTATAGTTGGGATTGTATTCACAATCCTATACTGTGAATATATTTACATTTGTTACACTATACTATTGTTTAACTTTTTACATTTTGTTTTGTAGTTTGTAACCTCCAAGTTATAATAGTTGTAATACTTTTTATCACTATTATGTCTATGTCAAGAACTTTCATACACTGTTTGTGATATTTTATGTCTGTAGGAATAATAGTCCAAATAGATATCTGTTAGTAGAAGTAGACTGTATTGTTATGTTTGATAAGTAACGTTTTAATTGTATCATCACTATGTATTATTAACTACATATTATACTACAGCCCCCTACACACAATATGATCTGGTCAGGGCAACAGATAGCCTGACCAAATCAGGTGTTGTGTACAGACGAAGCAACCTCTGCACGATTTGGTCAGATGAATTTTAATTCCACTGGTCTAAATCCGCCCGACAATGTTACACACTATATGATTTGGTCGGGCGGTCGGACAGTCAGATGGAACATAAGAATACTGGGAAACAAATATTTATATACAACTTATTATATTATGAAGGTTGGTACTAAAATATTTATTCATCATTTCATAATCAACATAGTATAATATTATTAGTTATTCATTGTTGATAGGTATAAAAATGAAAACACATATTTTTTATTTTATATTATAATCTACAATCAATCATAGGCGTGCGCAGGGGGGATGCCGGGTATGCCATGGCATTCCCTGCAGAGTTATCATAACTATATAGTTTTTAGTTGTAAATGATTTGATTATAAATTAAAATCATGAACTAAGATAATTCATAGTATTATTAGTATTATTATTATTAGTTCAAGAATTTAAATGTTTTGATTATTTTTTTATATAATTTTCTTACAATAAAATATTGGGAGTTGAGATGAAATCAAATACTAATTAGATTTCATAATCACCACAGGTACCTATATAAATAATAAAATAGATTGCTAACTCATATTAATATAGTTGAAATCAAATTCTACCATTTTCGTGAGAATTGCAGGTTTTATCACCAGAACATTCAGGCTCCTGCGGTATTGCTTATTTTCATACTACCTACAACTATTAAAAATAAAAGAATTTCAATTAATTATTTTATCGTTATTATATTATTTTAATAATATGATCAAATGTCTAAATTTTTTTGTACTGTTACTTTATTGGAATGAAATCACAGTACAAGCTTTTAAAATTAAAATATCTAAAACCAATGAATAAGCTAAATAAAATGCATGTTAATTTCTTTTCGCATTACGCCATTTGCCATTACCTATATGGCTATATCGTAAGTTATTTGTACCTATTACCTAAGAGTTTTTGGGGAGTTATTTTTTGTTTTGAGCTAGGTATGTTTAAAAATACTGGCATACCCTGCGAAAAAAGTCTGCGCACGCCTATGCAATCAATTACAATATAGAATAATAAGTAAAAAAGAGAAATAATATGGCTTGAAAAAACTGATTAAAGTAGCCTTCCAGTGAAAGCACTTTGTTAGTTATTTATATGCATTTTTATAATATGTTCATTGTTTGAATATTTATAATTTATATTTAATTTAAATACTTAAAAGCTAAAACAACCATACACTTGATATAATAGATTTTGTTTTAAAAATATTTTGTTAAGATTTAGGATTATCTAAATAATTAATGCCTTTGTGGTTCATTGTCTGCATTACATATCTTTTTTCTTCTTTCTTCTATAATATCTAAAATATATCTTCTAACTTCTTCATAATATTATGTTCAATACATTATTTTCTGTTATCTGGAAGATTTTTATTAGTTTATTGACCTGGTTTTATGATTATAAATATTAATATTTTTTTAACTTCTTAGGATTTTAAGCATTTAAAATGTCAAAAAAACCAGTTGTTGAAAACTAAAAATTACCGGTGGCACCAAAAGTTAGCTAGTTGTAGCTATCATAAACATATTAATGTGATTATCAAATACTGTTAGAATTTGATTAGGTGACAATGGTTAATTTGACACGGTGGAAACATGAAGTTTGTCGTCGGTTTTAGATTAACTAACCCTTTTAAGAAATACATCGGCAACATAATATGTAGTAGCATAGAACAATATAGAAGCGACACTCGATCAGCTGATGGGTGAAGTGTTTACCTATGATCTGAAGTCCGAACATTCAAACTGTTTCCGTTTACCAACATGATGTTATACCCGTATTGAAAAACCGTCTCCGATTAATAGGCAGGGTATTCTGCGCGGGTCGGGTTGTTTCCAGCATAGAAAAATTGTTTCCACTGTTTACTGTAACGTATGCCACGCCCCTTTAGAGACCATTTTCAAGGCCACAATCTCCCGATCCGACCAATTCACGGAGTGTCGTACCCCTGGTAGTAGTGCAGTACTATCTTTAATTCGTGGTTACGACCATGGTAGTTACCAACCAGTTGGTTATGAGGACAGTTCAGTTCTATGATAAGAACTCGGACCCGTGATGAGAAATTATATGGGATTGGATGGGACATGAATTTTATCGTTGGCACCACTGTTGAACTTGTCCATTCAATCCATTCAGTCATTCAGTTCAGTCAATTAGGCTCACCCCTATATTATTATAACATTTTCATCGAAAATATAAATTAGTTGGTTTTAATAAACTAGCTAATTTATATGGTCGAAAATTATTTTAAAATTGTATAATACTATAATGCTATAACCTCAAAAAACTTCTGTAGGGCACGCTCAATTAAAGCGGAATGCTGATAAATGATAATGAACAGTTGTCCGACAATATCATCTAAAACTATGTATTTATCCAAAACATCAAGAACTTATACAAATACTACATAATACGACGTATTTGCGTTATAGTCGTGAACACCAGTAAGTTATTATATTTACATTTTTAGTGTGGTAAGAGTTTATTTATTTATTTTCAAACAAAAATATACAGGACTAAATCTAAAAATGTTAACACCGGAGGCCGTGGATAGGAGAATACCCCTATTTTCATTGAAATAACTGAGATGTAACTCAAATATTTCTTTAAAACATTATTATTTATTTATTTACAAAATACAAGAAAATTACATAATATAGTGTACAATGTATAATGGGCTTGTGTTTTGGAGCAATTATATAATATCTAGTCTTAAAAAAGGATATTGCTAAGCTGGTGGTTATATTTATTTTCTATACAAACATAGTATTTTTACAGAAAATAGTCCAACAAAAATTCTGCTTACAAAAAATGTATTCATCCATGGTAGGTGATTTGTCTATTATACACATCAGTTAATATTAATAAATATTTCATTAATTTTAATTTTCAATATATTTTACAAATATTAAGCAACAATCAAAAACTTAGTAGTATAATACATATTTTTCATACATATAGGTAGTTCTAAACATCTAACTATTTCTGAAAATTTCAAATAATTTTTGTTAATCAAGTGTTTACAGTCAAAATCTATATGGTACTCATTTTTGAAATTTACTCATTTTGTTTTCAATGACAAAACCACTTGATATGGTTTGCTACTTGGCCCATCTTCTGCCGCTTATGTATAAACTATGAAAGCAAAATTAAATATACAACTGACATCAATAAAAATTTATAAAAGATATAAGCAATTATTTCATCCCTGTACTTCAACATAACTATTCGGTGTGTACGACAACAAAAGTGCATTATGTACACTCATTACGTATGTTACTCTACATTAATACTCCTGGCCAAATTAATAATTAGTTTTTATGTTCTAAATAGGTGTTAAGCAGTGAAAAATGTCGAATAATAGCATTTCAACATACAAATTCAAACCATTTGAGTTCACTGTATTAAAGGAAAATCTTGAACCACCGCAACGCTCGTTGGTGAGACCTGTGCGTCGCGTGGTTGGCAATGATGCAATATTCCTTTTTAGTGAATTCAAAGATCGAACAAATGTGAGACACATTTTTTTTTATACAAATTACTGCCAATTAATAATATTTATAATTAGAGACCGGATTTATATTCAAAAATATTCTTTCATGAAGAAATATTCTTTTTCATAAAAATTTATTAAACACTGAAAAACAAATAAAAGTAACAGTTTAAAAAAAATAAACAGTTATATTTAATCTATAATAGGTATGGTGATATACTGGTGTACCTATATTTAACTGTTGTAACACAAACTTATGAATTCAAAAAATTATAATACTAAAATGAAAAATAAAAAATAAAAAATAATTGCATATATTTTATTAACAGAATAATATTATGTATTCAAACTCAAACTTAAATAATTCAGCCTAACGAACTCAAATAATAATAATAAGTTTTAAATAATAAAAATGATTGCATATAGTTCAACAACAGAATAATATTGTGTAGTAAAATAACTCAAACTTAAATAATTCAGCCAAACGAAACTCAAAAAATAATAATAATAACAAGTTTTAAATAATAAAAATAAAATTATTATCTATTATATTTTTATATTTATTCAAAGTTGAACCCAAATATAGCAATAATTCCTAAAACATGTTTTTTATACAAAATATTCTTTAATCTTAAAATATTATTTTTATGAGCTAAAAAATGTTGTATATCAGTTCATATGTAAATTAATTGTCAAGGAAGCTTATCCAATTGGAGTTGCATACTCTCAGAAAGATATGAAAAACATAAAAATCCGGTCTACATTAAGAATTATTTCTTTTAATTTGAACTGTGTTCTACTCTTAAAATAGAAATTATTTTACTGTTCATTATCTTTTGGTTGCCTGTGTTTATATCGTAACTCATCTTACTGACATTATTTTGAGGGTATAAACCATAATGAATGTGTATTTGTAGGATGCTCCTGGTCAAAGAATGTCATCGCCTATGCATCAAATTTGGAAGTATAGTTTGGATTTAGGTGAATGGAAAGTCATCAATTGTAAAAATTTTCCTCAGGAATTAGTAACTAGTTGTAATAGAGCTACACTATCTGGTAACATAATTATTATGTATAGAAGTATTGGAGTTACATCTGGAGGAATTTGGAGCAACCGCATGTACTTGGGTAATATCTTAATGACACAACTTACATTAATGATAAAAATTAATAAAATTATTACACAATTTTAATGATTCCAGGAAATTTAGCCAATGAATATAAAGGAAATGGAATGATCTTTGTAAATATAAAAGAGTGTGGAGATTTTCTGTTACCAGTATATATACTAGGTGTTGTAATGGATGGTCAATATATTTATTCAATTGGTAACACATATGGTAACAAAAATGAGATGGATGTTCATCGATTTGATCTGAGTACAAAAAAATGGGAGTTGTTATATAAGTCAGTAAGGGAACGTATTGTCCTTGAACCTAGATATCAACATGAAGTGGTATTCTACAAGAGCAAAATATACATATTTGCTGGCAAAGGAGGTGGTAATCATCCAGCTGTTGCTTTGAATATTTTCTATGATTTTTCGGTAAGTGTAAAATATTTCATTTATATTTTTTTAAATATAGTACCTATTTTCAACAAATATACTTTTTATTCAATCCTATTCATTATTTTATGAATTTAAACCATGTTATAAGGGAATTATTTTTACTAAGTGAATTTGTTTTAAAGAAATAAAATAATAAATTTAAAATTTATCCAAGTAATGATGTGATTTGCGTTATAACATATCACGGTCGGTAGGAAAGACATAAATTTGCAGATTTTATTTAATGTATATTATTTGTATAATATTATGTTAGCTGCAATGTAGATGTTTAGTAATTTTGAGTGAATTCTGGTCAATAATGACAATAACTATTTTTTTAAGTTAATAACAATATTTCCTAACTATATTAAATTATGTATAACTGTCTCAAACAGTGATGATATATTTATATATTACTCTTAAGTATAAGTACAATAACTAAATACCTAATATCATAACCCATGATTACATAAATATCAAATTTTTTTGTAATTTAAAATGATTTGTGTTTTAAGTGAATTAGAGATTAATAATTTGATAATAAAATATAGCTTGTTGATAATAATAATTAATAACACTTTAAATGTTATAACTAGAGAGCGGATTTCAATGTAAAAGGCATTTTTTTCTGAAATAATGTTTTCCAAGCCTAATATTCATACATCTGAGATTTAAAAATTAAACTTTTATTTTTCTTTTTAACTATTTAACTATCTAACTTACTTTTTAACTATTTTTTTTATTTTATAAGTGCATTAGATTTTATTTTTTCAGTTAAAAATAATTTGTAGGACATTTCTAATTTGTTTAGCTACTTTTTTTATATGTGCATTAAATAGTATTTTTAAAGACATTTTTCTTGTTTTTAGAACACTTAAATCCACTCCCTAGTTATAACAATACCTCAATAGCATGAATGATGAAGTCATAGAATCAATATCCGGCCTAACAGGGTCTTATCTACACATGTCAATTTCAAACATGTCAATTAAATGTACCATATAGTGTTATATGTTATAAGTTTATAACTGTATACTGTCTTATATCTTATTTCGGTAGAGTATACAGAATGCTTGCTGCAGTTTCTGTTATATTGAACATCTTAGTGCTATGCATACAACAAGATAGGCCAATTTGTGTATTTTAATGATGATAATAATTGATTGTTTTAAGTTCATGCATTTTATTATCAGATATTATTATTTTTACTAGAAAATCCATATGTTTGATGTGGACACCAAACAGTGGCAATTACTTTCGGCCAAACCCGACCACAGGGTGCCAGAACCTGGTTATCCGATTGACAGATGCTTTCTTGCCTGTGTCCAATGTCCTGAGAAAGCTAACTTGGTGTATATATGTGGTGGTTTAGATTATTACCTACCCCTCAAAGACTTTTGGCGTATTGATTTTGACACCTTGCAATGGGAAAAACTCACCCAGTGGATAATGCCTCGGCCAGTATACTTACACTCAACTGCTATATCGCCTTCTGGTCGTATGTATTGTTATGGTGGCATAGTTTCTGAAAATTATATAGATTATAGAAATAGAAGCAGATCTACAAACACTTTAAGTAGTGGATGGATTAAGATACCCAAATTGAAAGACATATGTTGGGAAGCAATGATTTACTATTTCAAAGAACAGATGTTTAAGTCTACTGATGAGTGTCTAAAGAAAATTGGTATACCTCAAGAATACTATGAACGGATAATTGAAGCGCGTAGAATTTGTTAAATTTAGTTGATTTAAAAA